GCGCGGCGACTCCGGGACCAAAGCTCCTCTCGCCCCCTCCTGCCGCCGGGGGGGGCGGGGGGGGGGGTCGCAAGCGGCGGGGCGGGCAGCAGCTCCGCCGTCGGCTGCCGGGCGCGGAAGGGGCGGTGGAGCCGGCTTCTCCCGGGACGGACTGGTTGGCCCGGGCAGGCCGGGGCCAGGCGCTGGGCCGGGCTTGGGGGGAGAGGGGCCGGTGCTCGGGTGGGCAAGTGACCCCCGCGCCGTGGGGCTGCTGCCCGCGGCGGAGCGTGCCCGGGCGTCTTAGGCCAGAGGTGCCAGGGAGGAAAGGAAAACAAAAGGAAAAAAAAAAAAAAAATAAAAAGGAAAGTTAAAAGGCAGAGCGAGAACCAAGCGAACTTTCTAAAAATCCAGCTTCTCCCTCCGAAGCGCTTTTCTTTCTACATGCACAAAAAAACCCACACACCAAACCCACTCAAATATCCCCCCAAAACGGACTTTAAAAAAATTATTATTGTTGTTTTAAAGAAGGGTGACTATAAAATAAACCCGGGCGTTTGCAGGTAGGTCCCCTCGGCGCCTCGTTCTCCCCACAGCCCCGAGGCTGCGGGAGCCGGGGCGCACCGGGCCCGCGGGGTCCCTCCCGCTGCAGCCGGGATCACCCCGGTCCCTCCGGCTCCCGGCCGGCGGCGAAACCCAGCGCCTCGCTACGCTCTTATTAATTAATATGGATGTTTTCATTATTACTCGCCTGCCATCAGCACCGGGCCGCGATTTTTTTTTTTTTTTTTTTTTGGGGGGGTGGGGGGGAAGTGGGGTGGGCTGTTTGTTTTAGGCAGGTGATAAAATCGCAGTTAACGAGCTGATAATTCGTTCGTGTTTGTTTTAAAAGACAAATTGTAAAGATTAATCAGGCGGCTTGATTTATGGCGAGGCAGACCCCGGCGCTGCCCGGCCAGGGCTCCCTGAAGCCCCCGGCTCGGGTTACCCGGCCGGCGAAGCAAAACAAAAGGGCCGAGCGGGCAGCGGCGGCGGCTCCGGCCGGGCCCCCGCCCCGGCGCCCACCCCCCCCCCCGGCCCCGGCCCCGGCCCGGGGCTCCGGCCGCCCCCTCCCCGCCGCCGAGGTGCTGGCCCCGCGGCCGGCGCCTCGCCTCCCCCCCAGCTCCCGCGGTTTGCACACACCCCCCCCCTCCCCGCCACCCCCTATTAAAATCTTTTGTAAAATAAATGACCCCTCCAGCAGGGATGAACGATTTTTGCTGAGGGAGCGATTTAATTCCCGTGGCTGAGCTGGGAGACTTCCTAGCCAGCCGGCTCGCTGGATTTCACTTTATTTTATTTTATTTTTTCCCCGCCGTATCCCGTCCCCGCTGCTTGCGTTCGGCGAACCGGCTGCCGGCTCCACTCTCCGCCGCTAAATGCCCCGGCGGCACGGCTGGGGTTTTTAATTGAATTAATTCACCCGTGGGGAGCAGCAGCAGCCTGCGCTGGCTGCTGGGGGCGAGCGGCTTAGCTCCACTCCGCAGCCCGCTTCACACGGCTGCTTAGGCAGCTCCTCTCAATTTTCTGCCCAGTCTCCGGGGAGCGGGTCCGGCCGAGCCCGGGACGCGCCCTGCTCCCCTACCCCGCTCCTTCCAACCCCCCTTTTGCCTTTTTCCCTCCTTTCTGCCTTTTTTTTTTTTTTTTTCCTTCTTTTTTTCCTCGACATAACGGGCTCCGCTTTATTAACTCAATTTTGTTATTGCCGTTGATTTTTTTTTTTTTTTTCCTTTTCCCAGATGTGGAAGCACAACTGGTTATTTTGATTTGATTGACAAGTGATGTCATATCGTTAAGGGAGGGGGGAGACAACATGTTTTAGCAACAGTTAGTAGCGCCATGTAATGGAGTTGACACCTATGCCTAGGCAGAGAACAAATCCCCCCGGCCGTGCACACAGACTATTTATTTACACGCGCGAGTGGGGTTTCTTTTTCTTTTTTTTTTTTTTTTTTCCCCTGATCCTGGGTGCTTGGACCTGGGAAAAAGTGTACCTGAGCGAACGGGGCTGGGCTGGGTGGGACCCGCAGCCCCCGGGGCACTTTCCTGCAGACACCCCCCTTCCCGGGGAGCCGCCGGCGGCCCCCCCCCGTCCCCCCGCTCCCTCTCGCCGCCCGGTGAAACGAGACTCGGGGGTCGAGACCTCCCGGGGTGGCCGCGCAGCATCTTCCCCCCCCCGCTCCTCTCCGCCCCAAAGGGCATCCCGCGGCGGCCACAAGCAGAGAGGGCAGGAAAAACTCCGGGAAAAGAAAGAAAAAGAAGGAGAAAAGCGCTCAGCCCCGCGCCGGGCCGCCGGTGTGCGAGCCTCGGGCCGGGCCGGGCCGGGGGAGGCGGCGGGGAGGGGGCTGGGAGGGCTGGCGGTGGGCTGTGGGCGTCCCGCCCCGACCCCCCCGGCCCTGCCCGGCCCCCCCGGCCCCCCGCCCCGCCGGGGCCGCGGCAGCGACCCGGCCCGGCCGGTGCCAGCGGCTCCCGCCCGCCCGCAGGTAGGAGCCCCGGGGAGCAGCCCCTTCCCCTCGCACCCCCCCCTCGCCGTGAGTTTATTTCGTTAGGTGTGATTTTTTTGAGGGAAGGGAAAGTCCTTGCTTTCTGCTTTTTTTTTTCGGGATTTTCCTCCCTCTGGTCTTGTCTCCGCTTTGCTTTTCTTCTCCCCCGGCCCCCCCGTCCTGCGTTACTAGCACGTATTAATGGCTGCTAATAGGGTTATAAAATGACACAGTTACCTCTTAACCGCAAGACCCTATTTAAGCTGCATTAAAAAAAAAAAAAAAAAAAAAAAAAAAAAGAGAGACGGCTCGGGGAATAAATCACAGAATACTTAATCTTTTTTTTTTTTTTTTTCCTAAAAACTGTAGGAGCCTCCTCGCTATTCCCCCATCCCGCAGACGTGGGAACCCTCGGTCCCAGCCTCCCGCACACGCCTTCACCTGCGCTTTGTCCGCAATTTGCCCGGTGCCCGCTGCCCCCCGGCTCGCTCGGCTGCGAATAAAAGGGAGGAAAAGCCTCAAGTCGACCCCAGCCTGCCCACAAATACGCCTTTTGTGCAAGTTCCCAAAGAAAAATGCGTGCGGGGGGGAGTTTGCTCATGCACGGCTTTGTCCAGAAAAAGGTATAAACATTTTTTTCAGGCTCTGCCAGGAAAGATTTCGTTCGCAGGAGCTCGCTTTAATTTTTTTTTTCTTTTTTTTTTCCCCCTTGCAAGGTTATTTCGGGCGCAGCTGCTGCAGGAGGGAGGAAAGAGGCCGATCCCGCAGGTTTGATTTGTTTCTCCGCAGGCAAAACTTCGCTGGGGAGGGACCGAGCCCGGAGCGGGGAGCGGGGCTCGTCTCCCACCCGGCCCCGCCCGCGGCTGCTCCCCGCCGCCCCCGGCTGCCTTTCCCCTGTGAGCCGCGGGGCTTGAACCAGGCCGGGGTTTAGACTTCCGAGAAAAACAAAAAACAAAACAAAACAAAAAAAAACCCAACAAACTTGCGTTTAATAAAGATGCTTCGTGCTCTGGGGGAGAACGATCCCCACGATTGAAACCCGTACCCCTATTAGTGAAATCGCTTTTCTTATTGAAATCGCCTCAAATCCAAGCAGGCTCCGCTCCTGGTTGTTTCTATATTTTTTTTTTTTTTTTTTTGCCTTCCAGCCTCAGCACCGCAAAGCAAAAGGAGGATAAAGAGGGGAACTTTGCACATACAACAACAACAAAAAAAAAAAGAAAAAAAAAAAAGGAGAGGAGAGGAGGGTGAAAGAGCCCGCGGAGAAGAGCGGCCCGCTCCCCGATGTGGCTGGGTAATTTTAAATCATGCAAAGCCCCGTAAAGCTGCCGCACGGGACTGGGACGGGGAGGATTCCCCGGCAGGCAGGTGCAGGGGAGCGGGGCCGGGCCCTGCCGGCTTTCCGGGGCAGAACAAACCCTCGCATCTTTTTTTTTTTTTTTTTAATGCCCAAATCTGCCAACAATGGGAGCGAGGAGATAGGATGTGGCTGCGGGGAGGGGGCACGGGGCTCTGCACACTCTGTCTCCGGGAAGTGTCTGCCTGGCCGCTCTGGGTGAAATGTAACTTTCCAAGATGCAGATTTAAATAATTACCCCGGTGACAATGGGGGGGGGGGGTGTGGAAAAAAAAAAAATAAAAATCAACCAAACACCAAACCCTCCAACCCAAACGCGAGCCGGCGGCAGGGTGCCCGTGCGGGGAGCACACCCCAGCCGCCGCGCAGAGCCCGCGGAACCTCCGCGGTGCCTCCGAGCCGGCGGACGCTGCCCCGGGCTCAGCGCGGCCCGGCCCCGGCCGGCCGGGCGGGAGGAGGCGGCCCGGGGGGGTCCGGGCGTGCTGGAGGCGTTTTTTCGTTCTTTACAAAACCCTGCCAGGGTCGTCCCCAGGGGAAACTGCTCCGAGCGATGCGCTCCGGCCGCGGGACCCGCATCCCGCTGCGCGGCGGCGGCGGGGCCGCGGGGCCGGGACCGCAGCCCCCGGGCCGCGCAGAGCCGCGCAGCCGCATCCCCTTACCTTGCCTTTCGCCCGTCCTCGTTTTTCTTTCAGTTTTCCGCCCGGTGCCTGGAAAGCGCCGGTTCTCCTCCTCCGCGGGGCCGTTCCGCGGGCTGCGGAGGGGACGCGGGGAGCCTCCCCCGCCTGTCTGCGCCGGCTCTGCCGCGGGCGGTGGGTGCGCGCAGCGCGGCGCAGGGGCTGCCCGAGGTGCGCGCTGCTTAAAACTGGCAGCAGTTTTCGAGCTGAGCCCTTTTTTTTTTTTTTTTTTTCTCCCTTCCCTCCGTCCCCCCTTCCCTTCCTCCCTCCCTCCCTCCCTCTCTTTTCCTCTCTCCCTTCTTTCCCTCCCCTTCTCTCTCTCACTCTCCTGCATTCAAGGATGGCACAGCGAGCCACTGTGTATTTATGTACATAATAAGGCAGCTCGTCCCCTCCACTTCATTTGCATCATTACAATATCTGTACAAGCACATCACATTGTCTGTTGCTTGCACCTTTTGTTACGGTTGCTGTCACAGTCTACGCGACTTGACTTTCATATTTTAAATGAATTGATATTATACCAACAACACCCACCCACATCCCAGGCGCTGGGAAACCGGGCTCCGACGCGCTGGGTGCCGCAGCCCCAGCCTCTCCCCAGCCGCTCTCTTCTTCCACCGGATCCCAAGGAAGCTGGGGTGGGGACACACGCTTTGTAGGATCAATTATTCGTATAAATTATTCCTATTCGTATTAATTTTGTTTTCGCTCCCTAGTGAAGGGCATGTTTAGGGGGTTGTTGGATTTTTTTTTTTTTTTTAGTGGCATTGGCCAGCCTAGCTTTTGTATAACCTCGTGTTTCTTCTCCCCTCCTCTCCCTTCCCAAACGCAGTCTTTCGGGCTGTGCACCTGCACGTAAGAAAGGCAGCAGAGAAGCTGGAAGAGGCGCAAGCAGCTATTACCCGACGAGTCGTTGTTTTAGCTAGGAAAGAAACGGTAAAATACATATCTCGTAGACCACTAGGAATTCCAGTCAGAACGAATGTTTTTGGAAATGTTTGTGTGCCCCAGCCCCGGGTTGGCAGTCCTCACCTGCTGGGTATTTCCCTCCCGGTGCGTGTGTGTGTGCGGGGCTGGGGGGATCCCCTCGCCAGGCGCCCCTGGCTGCACGGGGTGGGGGGCCGCGGGGCGCGGCGCGATTCTGGGGGGGGGGGGGGGAACAACAGGCGAGACCCCCGCCCCAGGCTGCGGGAAAACCGTATTAATAGAGAGACAAAGGCCGGCCCGTCCGGCGGGGGCCCTGCGGGAGCGGGGGAACGAAATACGGTTCAGGAAAGGAAGGAGAAAAGTTTCGCGGGAGAGGAATTATCATCATAATGGAGGTAAAAATGTGAACAGGGGAAAGGGGGGGGGGGGATATCCTATTCTGCTGGCATTTTCTGTCTGTCTTTGTGATATGGTTCGGGGGGAAAAAGGGTCCTTGATATGCGGCAGATAATTCTTATCAGCCCCACGCAGCCTATTTCCAAAGTAAGTGTTTTAATTACTCCTCCTGTATTACCCTTCATCCTCTGAGAGGAGATACATCGCCAGATTTATGCAGGGGAAAAAAATACAAAAGAATGCGGTATTAAAATATATACATGCATATATATCCCCCTCTTTTTTCCCTTGTGCCCAGGAAGAGGGAGACGCTGTCGCCAGCCGCGCCCTGGGATCGCCCCTGCTCGGAACGACTCTAAAACGAGGAACCGTCGCTCAGACGGAAAAACTGCGGGAAAAGTGGTGTTTTGAAGCCTGCAGATTTTTCCCCAAGCGGGGACAGACGGGGGTGTCGGAGCCGAGGGCTCGGGGGGGCTGAGACCGGCGGAGGTCAGGGCTGCCCACCCGAGGCTCCCCACGCTGCCGCCTGCTCGCCGGCCGGGCTGTCCCGGGGCCGGGGCCAACCCCCCCCGTGCCACCAGGGGCATTGGGGGGCGGAGGAGCGGGGGGTTGCGATTTTCCCCTCATCCCCGCTGGAAGAGAAGGATGTTTTCCTCCGCTGTTTAGCTTTCGTACTAAAGATGTCATCTGAAAGTCTGGGAGGAAGGGGGGACCGTGCTCTGCTCTCTTCCACGGTAACAACCATATTCTGCATATTGAAAATATGATAGACAGTGGGAACGGCTTTTTTTTTTTTTTTTTTTTTTGCCCCCCTTAAGAAAAAAAAAAAAAAAAAAAAAAAAGAACCAACCTTTTCAATATTGATTCAACAAAAAAGAGAGGGAGAGAATTTAAAAAGAGAAGAAGCAGCACCAGCAGCAGGGAGAATATACGCTCAGCAACTCTCCAGGTTCGCTTCCTTATTATTACTATCCAGGGGTAATTTTTCATCTCTGCTAGCTAATCTTTGTTCCTTGTGAAGATAATGAATAGCCCAATCCTTATCTCCTGGGCTCCTGGAGGCTGCTGGAGAATGGGGTTGAACAGGGTTGAAAATTGGTTCCAAAGTGCTGCTGAATAAATGGTGTTCCTTATCTCTCGCTTCCAGATTATCGGAACCCTTTCAAAACTCACACAACAAATACAGCCACCGCATCTAATGCATCATTTACCAGAGCAGATCTCCGCGTTTGATCGGCAGATAGGCAAAATCTATGTATTCCTTGCTTTACTTAGTATGCATGGACTCGGGGCTGCTGTGCATGCGGGGTGCCCCCCGGCCGGGCCTGGGACACCCCCAAGGCTCTTAGCACACACAGGTCTTTGCTGTGGACTCTGTGGAGTGACAAGAGTGTGTCCTGCCTGTCCCCAGCCCAGGGGGAGCAGGGTGGGACCGCAACCCCCCCCCTGCAAGGTGCTGCCATGCAGCGCACTTGGAAATTCGGGGTTGCTCCTCTGGGAAGGTGATGGATTTGCAGGGAGAGGGGAAGGGGTGTGAGCATCATCCTGGGCACCCCAGGCACCTGCTCGCCCTCCTGCTCACTCCTGTACCCACAGTTGCAGTCACCCGCACCACGAACAGTCGCTGCTCTGGGAGTGCTGAGCCCCGGCTGCGTGGCAGCACCCCTGCCCCCCCCCCCCCGCCCCCCCCCCCCCCCCCGCCCCCAAAGCTATTTTCAGGCTCAGCCATGTCCTAGTCCTGCCCCAGCCCTCAGCAGTCTCAAGCCTCAGCTGGACCAGTCTGGTAAAACCTCCCGGTGCTCTCCCCAGCTTGTGCCCTCAAATCCTGGCAGCCCAGCCATGAACCCCAGCCAGTCCCTCGGGTCCCCCAGGGGCTGGGGTCAGCTTCCAGCCCTCCCCGTCAGTGCTGGGTGATCCCCCCACATCTCAGCCACAGGCAGAATAGGGCACCCAGGGCAGCCCAAATTTGGGGAGCAACTGGTGATCTTGAGGGAGAAAAAGTAACAAATAAACCCACAGAAAAGGAATCTTTTGCTCTTGGAGTTAGTGTGAAGTCTGTCTCTTCCAGGTCAGAGCAGCATCAAGTTTTCTTTTTCTTTCTTTCTTGCTTTCTTTTTCTCTCTTTCTCCCTCTCTCTCTCCTTCTTTCTCTTTATTTTTTCCCACTAGGTTTTCTTTTTTATTATTTTTTTTTCCCAAAAAAACATCTGCATAATAGTAAATGCCTCCCAGCCCAGCTGTGCAGGCCCCTGCTCCAGAGCAGGAGATCCCCCAAACCAGAGCTAAGGACACATGTCCTCTCGACTTCCACCCACCCCTTCTTTCCCTGACAGCGTCTGAGCCTGTGCCCAGGTACCAATCAAGGTGATATTTTATTTTACACCACCACAGCACACCCCTGTGTCCCCAGCACTGCTCCGGACCCCCAACCCAGGGAGGCCAACGAGATTCTGGGTTGGGGACAGGACATCCACAGTGTCGCAGTCCCCTCTGCCTGTCCAGCAAAGCTCATCCCTCCCCTGACTGGAAAGGGAGAGAAACTTTCGTGGGAAGTTGCGGGCAAGCAGCAGCCCCAGCCAGCCCCTTCCCGTGCTCAAGAGTTTTGCAAATGTTCAACTTGTACTAATTTTTTTATGGCTGTATTCACAGTTGTTCCCTGTAAAAAATGGACCTGTGTTAGTTTATTAATAACCTAAACATTACGTATTAAAGACCTATGAGTGACACAAGATGACAAAAAGCTGTATTTTTCCAATATACACAAGCACACATTTAATAACCTTCTATTGCATCTCAGCTAGGCCTTCTCTCTGATGGTTCCCATGGCAACTGAGATAAAAAAGCAGCCATTTTCCATATCTCTATGAAAGTCTATTATATTGCAGGATTAGTTCATCTTCTGCTAAGGTCAAACACAAAGTCATACAACCTGAAATATTTAGAATCCATGTACATTCATTTTTTTATATGCCCTTTCATTTTCCACAAAAGACTGGGCTCCTCTGAGGTTTTATTCCCCAGAAAATGCTAAGCAAAGCAATAAAAAAATCATGATTAGCAGCTGATGAAAAGTTCAATTGTTTTTTTTTTTTTTTTTTCCCTTTTTTCCTAGGGTTTTTTTTTCCCCTTTTTTTTAAAAAAAAAAAAAAAAAAATCCACACACTATTGTTGGGCAGATAGTGCCTTCCCCATTTATCTCTATCAGCAGCCGTGATTGCAGCCGATACCGGCCGGCTAATTGGGCTGGGAGCAATTTGCAGGCGGACGGCGTCACCTTCTGGCTGCGGCGGGTGAGACAGCGCCGGGGCCGGGGCGCCGGGGGGGTAGGGGCGCTGCTGGAGCCGCCCCCGCTTCGGCACCCCCCAGCCCGCTCCGGGGACCCAGGCAGGAGCCGGGGCTCCCACGGCGGCTTCGTGGGGCTTCCCACGAGAGGTACCCCAGGGTACGGGACGGCACTGCTCAGCTCTGCACCCCTCCATAAGAATTAATATCATCTCGCTGCGGGCTTGCAAACATTTCAAGAATCTGTGTCTGCTTATTCCTGCGATGAGTAAACATTTTTATGTATTAGCGTGTCGTGATGAGGTGCTCAAAGCCTTTCACCTGCAAGTTTCAGCTATTGCACGCTTGCAAAAAAAAAAACGTGTTGAGCACATCTGAGTCGTTCCCGCCAGCCCCAGTCTCCAGCGTGGTGTGAAGAGGGAAAGCAAAGTCACTTTTCTTTTTTTATGAAGGAGGTAGCAACGTAATTCAGTTGGGTCTTGGTGACACCTAGAAATGTAATAAAATAAAACCTGGGGAGCGTTCAGACAGTTTGAATGGTGACAAACGTGTTATCGCCCATGACACAAAGAACTATGGCTCACTCTTTTTCCAAGGTCACTCCTGAAAACCTGGAAAATCAGGGGAGAGAATTTGTGCATGTGGCCATCCACACTTGTGGCTTTGTTCATGGGTACCTGCTGCAATGTGACATTTATTCCAGCCTCTTTTAATGTGGAAAAATATAGGCTCTGGAAACATGGGCAAAAGGGGAGAAGCTTGTGAGTGGCAGAAGGATTGAAGAATTTTTTTTTTTTTTTCTTCTTTTTTTCCCCATCTCTCCATCCCATGGGGGCCCCACAGGGATGTCCCAGTGGCTCTGGCCACACCGTTGGAGCAGCCTGGGGTGGGCCAGGCAGGGCATGGTGGTTATCAGGGGTGGTGTATCCCAGACTGACCCTGGAGATGACCTGTACCTGCTGAGGAGAGGTGGCGTGGGAGTGGCAGATAGGAGCCAGTGTGGGCAAAGCCAAATCCCAGCCCTGACCCTCCATCCCCCACTGTCTCGGCTTCCTCCCAGCCTGGGTGAGGTGGGTGGCGCAGGGCGCACGCCCGCATGGTGTTACCAGAGGTCAGCATGTACCCAAAGGTGTTTTCAATAAGCTGTTTGCAGGTGGGTGTTGCCCAGCAGCGGCCAGAGCCGTGCCCACCCCCTGCAATCAGGCAGCAGCCCTGGCTCTGGGCAGCTCACCTGGGGTGCCTGCGCACCCATAAAAGCCTGCACCTGCACCTTTCCCCTCCTTTTGGGCTCTGCTTCCTTCTGCTTCTTTTGGTGGAGGGCAGAATGGCTGCGTTTTCAGGGCTAATGTGAAGCTATCTATTTGTAAGCCTTGGATCTTGGGACTGGGAGTCTTTTTTTTTTTTTTTTAAATAAGGTGGCAATATTTTAGTCTCAGAATTTGTACTGAAGAGAAGAAGCCTGAATGCGTGCCCTGAGCTGAAAGTTTGAAAAGGAGTATATAGCATCACCAGATGTAGGTGGTTTTCTCTTTTAAGTCCTGTGGCTTCTTTTGTTCCATACTTCATCCTTGCTGCCCTGGGCAGCAGCTGGCATGGTGTTCGCATGTCCAGTGTCTGCAGCTCTGAGAAAGCCTCTAGAAATCTTGGGAGTAACAGTGTTCTTCAGCTAAAAAGGGGTGTTCCCCTGCCTGCAGTGCCAGCACCCTCTTCTTGGAGCAGTGGTGTTGGCCTTCTCTCACATCTCAAGCTTTCTTGTGAAATCTGCTGCTGGGGGTAGGTAGAGGCTGAGCTGCCCCAGTGCTGGCAGCGTGGGTGCTACGTGGGGGCTGTGACAGAGCTCTCTGTGAGGATCCTTGTCCTCCAGCAAGTAGGGGTGCTTGTGTGCCGGTGCCATCGGGGCTGCCGGGAACACTGCGGAGCCATGCTGGGTGCCACGCTGAGTGCCATTCAAACCCAGCACGGAGCAAAATGGGGAAAAAAAACAAAAACAAACAAGTCCCCTTTGGGTTTTAAATATTTAGATTATTTGCAGTGGCTGGTTACTGCTGGGGGAAGCCTGGAGGCATGTGGGGCTGCTGTCATGTGGTTTTTTGCAGGAGCACGGTGGCCGCTTGTGCCTGGGAGGAAGGGGCTCCTTCCAAAACTTGGGGGGCCGGTGGTGCCACTGAAGGGATGCTCTCTGCTCCCCCTCCTTGGAGAGCCTGGCGCCGTGTGGTTTGGGATTCAGGGCAGTGGCGAAATGCCCCAGTTTGGCCCCCGGTTGTTTTTCTGTCTCTCAGTGACATCTGGTGTGTTGCTGCGAGTTCCCAGAAAGAGGCCCTGACGGAGGATGTCAGGGTAGGAAGAAAGGAGCTGACCTTGCTATTAAAAGGCAACAGAAATGGAAATGTTTCAGGCTGTTTCTAGCAGACGTCTCTGGGAAGAAAATCTCCTTGCTCTGCTCCATCAGGCCCTCGCGGGCAGCTTTTCTTTGCTAATTGTTCACTCGATACCACACTGGAGATGCTTAATTTATCCTCACCCCCATTGCTGCGTCTGAAAAGATCTTGTGGAGTTTGAGAAGGATTTAAGTCCTATTGATCCCTCATGACTTTGTACATTCCTGGTCTTATAGTGACGCCAACAGCCCCAGTGCTCTTGGATGAAAGACGCTCATCTGGAGTGGGAAGAGTAGGGGGCAGATCCTGCTCTGAGTCCAGAGCAATCCAATTGAATCCATCCAAGCATTCCCAGCAGCACCTCTTTAAAGAAGGAATTTCTTGAAAATCTCTCATCCGTGCTCTGAGCAGGGTCCCATGGAGGAAGGAAACCTTGCCATTGCATGGCTGCTCCTTGTGATAGGGGAGAAGTGG